CCCATTCTGTGGGTTGCCTCTTTGTTTTGTTGACTGTTTCTTTTGCTGTGCAGAAGCTTTTTATCTTCTTTGACATCGGCCACAGCAACTTCTTTCAAGATACATCTCCAAAGGCTAGTGAAACGGAAGCAAAAATGAACTTTTGGGACTTCACCTTAGTTCTTTTTTTGAAAAAGATTTTATTTAAGAGAGTGAGAGAGGGAGAGCATGAGCGGGGGGAAGGGCAGAGAGAGAGAAAGCAGACTCCCCGCTGAGCAGGGAGTCCAACATGGGGCTTCATCCCAGGACCCCGGGATCATGACCTGAGCAGAAGGCAGACGCTTAACCAACTGAGCCACCCAGGCGCCCTTCCATCTTAGTTCTTAAGGAAAAACTCAGAACAGTAAAGGAATGGCATGCTTGGGACAGTCTTCTCAGTCCTACCTTGGGGCCCCTGGCATTACTGCTTTGCCATTAGGAGTGTTTCTGTGGAGAAGTTTGAAAAAACACTGGTACCCGAAAGAGTTTATCATGGTCTATGCCAGAATAGCATGGTCTTAGTTAACCCCTTAGTTAATCCTTGTTTTAGAAAGTAGGCAGCCACATTTCCCCAGCATGTACTTGTTACCTCCTCTTAAGCATAGCTAACACTGGGCTCACCATCTTCCCTACAAACCTGATTCTCAACCCACATCGCCCACGGAGTCATCATCACCACCATCCATTCAACTATGCAAGTCAGGAAACAAACAGTTGCCCTTGACCCCTCTTCCTTCACATCCTTAACTTGACACCATGGCAACCCTGCCACCTTCCCATGACTTGAATGCATCCTTTGCCTGCGTCTCCATCACCAGCATCTGGGTCCAAGCAACCATCATTTCTTGCCTAGACTAGGGAATCCCCTAGAACCGGCCTTCCTCTAATCCATTCTCCATGGTGAAGCGGGCTTTGATCTCTGATGGTTTATTCCCATTGCCCTTAGAATAACATGGTCCGTGAGGCCCTGCATGGCCCAGCCACCCCAGCCCTCTGGCCGCATCTCGAGTCCTTCTCCATCTAGTGCTGCAGTAACATCGGGTGCTCTCTCTTCGCCAACAGCACCATGACTCCTCCATCAGGAGCCGTTGCCCAGCTTGCTGGGTCTGGAGTGTCTCCCTCAGCCCTTCCCTGACTGTCCTTGCCGAGATGATAGATATTCATCTTCCAAACCCCGCTTGTGGGTCTTTTCCTCAGAAAAGCCTTTC